ACCTCAACGGTCTCGACCCTCGGTTCTCGACCTCAACGGTCTCGACTCTCGGCTCTCGACCTCAACGGTCTCGACCCTCGGCTCTCGACCTCAACGGTCTCGACTCTCGGCTCGACCTCGACGGTCTCAACTCTAGGTTCTCGACCTCGACGGTTTCGACCCTCGGTTCTCGACCTCAACGGTTTCGACCCTCGGTTCTCGACCTGAACGGTCTCGACTCTCGGTTCTCGACCTCAACGGTCTCGACCCTCGACTCTCGACCTCAACGGTCTCGACTCTCGGCTCTCGACCTCGACGGTCTCAACTCTTGATTTTCGACCTCGACGGTCTCAACCCTCGGTTTTCGACCTGAACAGTCTCAACTCTCGGTTCTTGACCTGAACGGTCTCGACTCTCGGTTCTCGACCTGAACGGTCTCGACCCTCGGCTCTCGACCTCAACGGTCTCGACTCTCGGTTCTTGAACTGAACGGTCTCGACCCTCGGTTCTCAACCTCAACGGTCTTGACTCTCGGTTCTCGACCTGAACGGTCTCCACTCTCGGTTTTCGACCTCAACGGTCTCTACTTTTAGTTTTCGACCTCAGCGGTCTCTCGAATCTCGGCTTTCGGTGCTTGACCCCAGTGGCGGGTCACTTAAATTTCGACTTCTACAACCATTCAGTTTTCATTGTTTGACTTCAGCGGCGAGTTATTCTACTTCACTCTTCGATCGAGTTATGCTCACTCGACCAGAGTGGGGGGGACTAGATGATATAGCCACAACTAGTATTGCCGGCTCGACCAGTAGTATTTGATATAACATGTCATACCCGACCGATTTTTATGGATATATATTGAAGAATACGCCCATACATGGGCTAAGACACTTGATATGATAATATGGGTCAAGCCCAACTTAGGCCAAGCCCAATTTGGACTATGAGGTACACTCTCCCTATAAAAGGGGGGCTAAGGTATTCATTTCCTACATTCTCTACTCATTCCCTTACTACACTTCCTCTCTCTACACTCTCTCTCTATATGCACTCTCATATGGATCCTGTACTAATTTAAGCATCGGAGGCCCAAAGCCGGGCACCCCTCCCGGGGTCCCAGACTTTGGGTTCTTGCAGGTACGGTGGCCGTCCGAGTCAAGGGAGCCCGGGTGACATCTTTGTCCCATCAGTACTAATCAACTGTACTCCGTAAGAACTCATACTAAAGTAAACATTAATAATAATATCAATATCATGATCATAGGTATATATATGCTTCTCCCGGACATTGGTCCGGTAACTTTAACTGAACTTTGCAGCTACCGTACTGCCGGTTCTCACGTGATCACATATTGGGGGCTGCCTCCCCAAAACCCAGTCTGGACTGGGCGAGTCTTTAACTTACTTAGGATGGCTTATTAAGGTTACTGCGCCTCCACCCCAAGCATAACTTTAACTCATATACATACCTTTGAACATGATCTAGCTATTATACTCAATGTAATATCCAGTCTGGGTCCCCACCTTTCGTCTTGAAAACTGTTTTGAAAATTGAAAGTGTTGTTCTTATAGCCGAACTTCTCACGCTACATAAAAAAAATATAAGCAAGAATACTAAGTACTATGCTCGAATACTCTTAACTTTAACTGATAACTTATCCGAATAATATACAAGCCATAGCTCAAATAACATAATACATTGAATAAATCAAACTCTTGATTAACTTTATCCAAAGATAAAACTCAACTCATATAAATCATGCCTTATTACTTAGATGTTGGCTTACAAAACTTGTAAGTGAAATAACTCAAATTCACATACATAACTCAACATATTCA